GTCGCCTCCGCCTTCAACCTGGACACCCGATTCCTGGTGGTGAAGGAGGCCGGGAACCCGGGCAGCCTCTTCGGCTACTCGGTCGCCCTCCATCGGCAGACGGAGCCGCAGCAGCGCAACCTGTGAGTGAGGCCGGCGGGGGTGCAGTGGGCGAGAGAGAGTGTGTGCGAGTGCAGGGTGCGGTGTGGATCCGGACTTGAGTCGGAGTCCTGGCCCACGGGCCTCCGGCGACTGTGAGCAGAGATTAAGCGGGTGGGGACCTGGGCAGCCCTCCTGCTGCGGAGATTTGGCGGGAAGTGAAGGGATTAGGCGTGGGATGGGGATGGGGGGTGGGGCAGTCATCATTGGCAAGTGCTGACCCAGCCAGAACCTGTCTAGACGCAGCCCCTCAGCCCTTTAAACCTCCCTGGAGAGCAGCATTGGGGTTCCGCTTCCCTGAGCCCCTTCCCTTCTGTGAATTGAGTACCTAGTACACCGCATGCCCCTTATTCTCCAGGGATGGGAGCTGGGAAAACTGCAGGATAGAGGCCTATTGGATCTCCCTCACCCGGTTCCTGGGGAGGACCTATGGGCACATGCATTTAAGCTCTCTCCCTTGACACCTCCCATTAAGTCTGCGGCCACGCCAGCCGCACCCTCTGCAGAGACAGACTGGAGGGGTTCTCGGCCTCTCCGCAGCTGGAGGGTGAGGTGATGAGTCTGGGTGTTTGGAGCTGTCCAGGGGCCTCCCTCTGATCCCTTGAGGGTGGGGGAGTAGAAGAGAGAGGAGGAGCTGTCCCAAATCCTGCTGGCTCTCCTGCCCCCTCACCCCCAGGCCAGCAGTGACACCCTCCCAGCAGACATCTTTCCTGCATTCCACAGATTCATGTTGAGTCTTTAACCCTGAGAGTGTTTGTTTGGTTTGAAGAGGGAAATGGTGTTTTTCTGTTCCTTCTGTTCTCCTTCCCTACCAGCTGCAAGAAGGAAGGGAAGAGCTAGGCATAAGGGACAGAGGGGACCGAGGCTGCATCCTGCGCTCCGGGCCCCTCCTCCACGCTCACCACACACTCATGCCCTGAGGGGCATGTCCAGGTTTCAGATGTTCGGGAAGGGAAGGGGGGTGGGGAGGTGAGGCTGTCCCAGGAGGGAAGGTAGTTAGGACAGGTCAGGCAGGCCCTGTCACTTTGAGTGGGGTCACCTACCAAACCTCTGCCCCCACCTGGCGTCTGACCCCTCTGAGCAAGAAGACGTGGTCATAAAAAGGGTGTGTTGAAACCTCTTCCAACTCTGGCTGCGGCCGGTAGAAACTTGAGGAATGTCAAAGTCCAAACTTGGCTCCTGCCCTGCTGGCCCAGCCCCTGCCCAGTCTGCCTACCTGAACTGGCTTAATTCCACGTCGCTTCTGCAGAGGCTAAGGTCACCACAGCCTTCGCAGCCCTGCCCCAGCGGCTGCGGCCCGGCCTTGGCCAGTCCTCCATCTTTTGGAGACTCTAAGTGACCATCAACACAAGTTTCTAAAATTGGTGCTCTTTCTGCGCCGATCCGGAAAAAGGCTTTCCATGCTAAGGCAGCATCGGTGTAAAGAGAAGATCAGAGAAGCAAGAGGAAATAATGGGAAGCTGGAGTCAATAAAGGATTCCGTAACACCCTCCCCCCTTTGCTAGGTGACCTTGAGCAAGATATTTCCCTTCTCTGGGCCAGTTTTCCCCAAAGAGGGGTTGGGTTGGACCTGGATCTGTATTGCTCCTTCCTGCCTCTGTTGCCCTGGAAGAGGCCACTCGGCATTGTGGAGAGAGAAGAAGCTGCAGAGTTCCATTGCCAATGACCTGTCTCTCGCATCTGTCACTCATACCGGGGCCTGCATTTCCTCCCATGTCAGGGGAAGGGGAACAACACCTTCTTCATGGGGTAAGAGTGGGGCTTCCATGAGAGAATGTGTGTCAAATGCTCTGCAGCTGAGGGCTCCTGCCAGGACCTGGATACACCCTCACTATCCATGGGCCTCACCCAAGATGGCTGAGCAGAGAAGTTCTACTTTTTTTTTTCCTGGGCAGCTAGAGGTGGCATTAGGCCTGACAAAAGCCCAGAGGTTCTAAAACTAATGGACCTCAGAAGCAGGTAGTTCTAGATAGACTTCTGGGCCACTCAGTCTTCCCCAGGGGTGGTTCTAGATCCTGGCTCATCTCCTCGTCTCACCGACTTCTGCTCCTTGGCCCTTTGGGAGAGCCAGCTGGCCCAGCTGGGCTTGGCTGTAGCCAGCTGTGTAGCCAGATGTGAACAGCTGCCTGAGTGCGCAGCTCAGGGAAACCAGCAATCGAGTCACAGTCTTCTCTTCTGTTCGCCTCAGGGTCCCTTTGGAAAAGGGAAAGGGTCCGTGGTCCTGAACAAACTCTTCGTTTGGGGCTCACAGGAGGTTTTCCAGAGGGGCAGAGATCCCCGAAAGCACATGTAAAATCATGTGTGTTTGTGTGTTGTTCTGGGGGTGGGAGCTGGGAGAGCGTAGCGTTCATCATATTCTCAAAGAAGGCCTTATCCCGGAAATGGTTAAAAACCCCAGGTGCAGACCCTCTTTGTTCCCCATCAGCTCCACCTCTGGGCTGGGGTTCCCTGCCCACAAACGTAAGAGGCTCACCCCAACCCAGGCCCCAATTTCTCAGTCGCTGGACCTGAGGGGTGAGGAGTGGGGCAGAGGACCCGGTGGCTTTGGGCTTCTTGGTGAGGCGCATGAGGACCCCTGGGGAGACAGAGGGACTATTCTTCAGGGAGATGGCCATTGGCTCCCCGCCTTTAGCACCTGCTCTTCATTGCCTCCTGGGAATCCAGTGTCCTGGTCTGGCCTGACCTTGTGGGAGATACCTCCAGGGCCCTCTCTCCCTCTCGCCCTTGCCAGGCAATGAGGGTTTCTGGGAAGCCTGGGGTGAGGGTGGCTGGGCCTCCTGGAAGATGAGGTCATCCCCGAGGGAGGCAGGAACCGGGATTACCTGCTGTGCTCTCCGCAAACATGTTTCCCGGGCAGAACAGCCACCTGGCAGCCTCCAAGGCTCGTGCCAAAGGAAACGGGCAAAGCAGGCTGCCGCTGCAGGCAGAAGGCTGCATGTGGCCTAGTGTCCTTTCCTCTGGCTCTCTCCACTGACCAGTCCGGGCCCAGGAGCTTCCAATGGGGTGGGAGGCAGGGGAAGCCCGATCCTGTAGAAAAAGAGAGGGGCTCGGTCAGAGCTAAACAAAGGGGAAAGAGGATGTCCACTGCAGCAAGAGGAATTGAGGTTAGATGACATGAAGAATGCCCTCGGGGATCAAATATGGAAAAAATACTAAGGAGCAAGAGAGAGGGAGAAGAAATGAGAAAACCGGCCTTGTTCCCTTTTATTGGAGGCTCGGGCCTAGGTCTCTTTCTCCTGTCCTCCCTCATTCTATCCCTTCCTCCCGCTTGTTGCTCTGGTTCTAGGGCTGAGTCACCAGAGAGGAGAGGGGGCTGGCTGGGCAGCGTAAGAAGTAAGGGGAGGACAGAGAGGGCTGCAGTCTCAGCCACCGCAGGACCGGCCTCTGGGAGATGGCTAATTCCGGCAGCAGAGTTGGCACAGAGCTGGGATCCAGGCATCTGAGAACTGCTGCCCGCGGGCTCAGGGCTCAGAGCTGGGGCAGCCCCCTCCCCAACCAGCTTCTAGCCCTGAGGTGGAAGGGCACCCTGAGGAGTAAGGCATGGGGGCCCATTAGCCTGAGTGCTGGACCCTCTGGCCCTCTCCACTGGAGCCACCCCAGCGCCCCCCCTGAGGGGAGGAGCCTGTTTCTCTGAGCATCACCCCACACTCCAGTATCCCAGGGGGGCCTTCGTCTCTTTGGGGTGAGCCAGCCTGGTGCCCTGACACCCCTGGGCCTCATACACCAGTCCCCTCCCATTCTACTACTTTCTACTTGGCTGTTGCATTAGCCTTGAACTGTCAAAGAAGTGAGAGGCAGGAGTGAGGAAGTGCTTTTCCAGAACTTGGGGCTCAGGGGGCTCCCCAGGGGCCAGGAGGGGCTGTCTGGCTGGAGCCACAGGAGAGGGTGAGGAGACAGCTCTTTGAAAGCCTTTAAGAGGTCATCTTACCCATTCCCCTACCTCCCGGAGGGGCTCCCTGCCCACCAACCCCAGCCCAGACTCCAGGAGAGGTTTGATCTGATCTCTTCTTGCTCCAGGGGCTGGGCAAAGCCTCCCTCCTAGCCTCCTTCCTTCTGACTGCCGCTGGGAGGGTGGGCTCAGTGGTGGTCCAGAAGGGGTCAGCTTTTGGATTCTCGGATCTGGACCGGATCCAACAGCAGGCAGCAGAGTGCTCATTTGCATATTAATGTGTAATACATTTGCATGTCAGTAAGGTCTCTCCCACCCTCTGGGTGCTCCCACATCTGGCTGTGGCTGGAGGCAGCTGGATCTGACCCTCTGCACACCACCTTCCTCCATCCACTCGCAGTCCTCTGACTGTAGACCCATTGGATCCTGGGCTGGGAGCCAGAGGGCCTTAAAGGGCCTCTGAACAAGCCAAGTTGGAGCTAAAAATACTCCAGGGGGTGGGAGTGGGGGCTCCCTGTGGAATCTCTGGGGAGGGTGGGGCTGGGGATGTGGGCCTGGCATTGCCCTGCTGCCCATCAGTAGGCACAAGACTGGTTGGGGCAAGGCCGGGGAGGGTATAGATGGTAAGGGGATTTATTTCAGTCCAGTTGCCTTTGTGCCCAGCTCTGCCTGCCTGGTTCCCCAGGAGGCTAAGAGGAGGGGACCCTCAGCTCCCTCCCTCAGACATCTTGGGCAAGCAGCAGCAGGAGCAGCAACACTTCCATGGCATTGCAGTCCTGGGAGGCAGCCTGGCCTCCTCTCGCCCACTGAGGCCTGGACCCACCCCTTCAGGGTCACTGTAGCATGACCCCAGCCTCTACCAGCCAACTCTGAGCTCCTACCCTGGAATGACTCCAGCTGCCAGGGCCCCACCCCCACCTTAGTGGTTGTCTGGTCTTCTTAGGCATTGGAAGTGCTGCTGTGCCCCATCCTCTGCTCCCTCTAAATAACTGGACTCGTCTGCTATGTGTCCTCAGCTCCAGGCTCCCTAACCTGGTGGGACAGAAACTCCCGGGTGCCTGGGGTGTGCTGGGGCCAGTCCTGGTGTCTCAATAATCAGAAGGACACTGTTCACACCGACCATGGCTTCATAATCAGAAAGTCCTTTCAAAGGGAGAACCCATTGGTTCCCCCAACAACCCTGGAGATTGTCGGGACAGCTGCTGTCCCCATTTCACAGATGAGGCACTCAAGGCTCAGAAAGGGAAAGGAAATTGCCCCTTGAAGCAGAACAAACCTTACAACCGGACCCTTAGGCTCCCAAGCTGGAATGCTCCTTTCGAAAGGCTTCCCTCTCTCACCTGTCAGGCTCCCTAGGGGGGGGTGTCCATGGGTGGTCAGGCACCCTCCTGAGCTTAGACAGAGGGTGACTAACTGGGCCTGGCTGCCACACTGGCCCCCTGCCAGCCTTTCTGCCTAGCACCGCCTAACACTTCCCCAGGGTGAGGTCTGAGCTAAGGTGTAAGGTGCAGGCAGGGGCCCCACCCCCTTCCCAGCACCTCCAGGCCGTGCATTCCTGACACCCAGTGGGCAGAGGCACCCAAGTCCTGGCATGCCTAGGCCCCGCCCTGCCCACTCCCTGAAACCTTCACTCACAGGTTCCAGGCAAGAGCTGCAGGCGGGGTATGGCACCTCCAGACTCTGGCAAGAGGCCCAGAGCCTGAGTTCTGAGCTGGGAGCCTCAGGACGCTAGTATTGCTGGGGCCCGACGGAGGGGCTCCTAGGAGGTGCCTGCCACCCAGGAGGCTGGGTCCATGAGAATCAAAGAGGCGGTCCTGGCCGAAGGTCCAGGGGCTACAGAGAGATGATGCGATGATGCGGGGAGAGTAAGGAGTGGTAGAACTGGGTTCTCAAACTGGGTGTACAATATTTGGGGTACATGTTAAACAGGCAGGTTTGAATATTCCTATTCAATTCAGGTGGTCTGTGATGGGCTGAGGAATTTGCCTTTTGAACACATATCCCAGGGATTTCTGATGCTGGTGGTCCAAGGACTCTTGAGATATGATTCCGAGGCGAATCCCCTGCCTTTCTGTCCTCTAGTCACCTCTCTGGTAGGGAGGGGTGGCTGGGATCCTAAGCATTCTTGTTGGAACTTGTAGTCAATGTCCCTAAAGATGGGCAGGCTGGGGATCCATGTCCACTCTCATTCCCACTTTCCAAGAACACTGCCCTGGGGACAGAATGTCCAAAATGTCGAGTACCCAGTCCTACCCAATACCCGTGTGCCTGTCTTAAGGTGGCAGTGGGGGTGGGGGTGTAAGCATCACTCAGATTCCTTAGGGGTCCACTCCTCCTAGATCTAAGTCCTCAGATGGCTTCGAGTGGAAGGACCCAGGGTCCCAACAACTGACCCCACGCCACCTCTTACACGTTTTCTCCCAGGTCCTCCTGGAGGTTGAGCCCTGCACCGGGATCCCTCCAGGCTTGCTCTCTTTCGGTCTACCTTCATCTCAGAGGCCAAAGCATTCCTTCCAAAACCCAGATCTGACCATGTCACTCCAGATCTGACCATGTGACTCCCAGATCTGACCATGTGGCTCCCAGATCTGACCATGTGGCTCCCAGATCTGACCATGTGACTCCCAGATCTGACCTTGCTCAATATCCCTCCGTGGCTCCCCAAGGCCCTTTGCACCCTGCACTCTTGTCTCTCCCCAGGTTCCTGGATTCCAGCTGGGCCAGGACCCTGCAGATACCTGAATCATCCTGCTTGCGCATGCTTCCTGGCCCCGGGCCCACGCCACACATATGCCTAAAGTGCCCTTCCTCCCCTTCCTCACCTGGCGGCCTGGTCATCATTCTCAGACTCAGACCAGGTCCCCTCTTCCCTGGCTGCCCCTCATGCAGAATCGGGGCTGGTTTGCACCCTGCTTTCCTCTCATGAGGCGCGGACTGCAGAGGTCTGCTTCCTGCCTGCCTTCTCCTACGGGCGTGCTCCTGGAGGTCAGGGGCTGGGATCCATTTATCTCCTGACCCCAGAGCCTGGCACACAGCCTGGCAGAGCAGATATGCTCAGTACATGCATGTTAAACAGCAAGCTGTTTGAAGTGGGCTTTGGGGAGTCTGAGCCCAGGCCCCCTACCTCCTTGCCCCACAGGCTCCTGGTTGGTGCTCCCCGTGACCTCGCCATGTCTGATGGCTATACCAACCGGACCGGTGCTGTGTACCTGTGCCCACTCAGTGCCCACAAGGACGACTGTGAGAGGATGGACATCACAGAGAAAAGTGAGGGGAAGGGGCTGGGGATCAGTGCTGGGTCAGGAGGCTGGTGGAGAGGGTAGCAAAGGGAGAAATGACCTGGAGGAGATGAAGGCTCACCTGGGCAGTTTCTAGTCACTTCTTGTCCAGCTGGGAAGAGGGAGTCTTAGAGGAGAATGGGACCATATGGGAGCTCAGACTGGGGGGGCTGGAGGAGGGAGGAGGGACGGCTGCCCTGCTGGAGTGGAGCACCCGAGATGGACTAACCCCTGCCCTCTGGAAGCTCTGGGCACTGGGAGGATGGGGTGCCCTGACCCATGATCCCTCCCATGCCCACAGATGACCCTGACCATCACAAAATCGAGGACATGTGGCTTGGGGTGACTGTGGCCAGCCAGGGCCCTGCAGGCAGAGTCCTGGTAAGTGGGTGCTCCAGTCGGTTCCCCCCTTCAGCCCTCTCCTTCATCTCCCCGGAGCTGCGGAGAAATCAGAGGACAGAGGGGGTCCTTGGTGCATGAGCAGGGGCTTTGCAAATGACTACGTCTATGGCTTTCTGTGTCTCAACCCTGCATTTATGGGGAGGGAGGGGGGGTCTGGCACTCTCCCAAGACCCAGCATGGCCTGGGTCCTGTCTGAATCACACTTCCTCCCTGCCCCACCCCTGCTACCCCCTGGGTTGCTCACCCTTCGTGGGAACAGCTATAGGAACAGTAAAGAGAAAAGGGCAGATAGGCCCTCAGGCTGTGTGGCCTGGTCTTGCTCCTTCCGGGGAGGCTGGCTGGCTGTCGGAAGAGGGACAATCCTGCTGACCTCAGCTCACTTGGTTTGGGTCTGAGGGCCGCTCCCTCTTATCAGCTGTCACCTCCTGCCCCATTCTTTTTTAAAAAAAATAGATTTTTATTGATTTCAGAGAGGAAGGGAGAGAGAGAGAGAGATAGAAACATCAATGATGAGAGAGATTCATTGACCAGCTGCCTCCTGCACGCCCCACACTGGGGATCGAGCCCGAAACCAGGGCATATGCCCTGACCGGGAATCTAACCGTGACCTCCTGGTTCATAGGTCAATGCTCAACCACTGAGCCACGCCAGCCGGGCATCCTGCCCACATTCTTCAGTGCTGGCCCCTGGGGCTCTCAGTTTCTGAGTCCCAGAGAGAGAGATTTTAGACACTGATATAAAATGTACATACAGCAAAATGTACAGATTGTAAGTGGCATTGAGTTTTGAAAATTATACACCTGTGTTACCAACATCCATTAAAGAAATAGCGTATTCACCGCATTCTAGAAAGTGTGCCCCCTTTCAACCAATCATCACCTCCAAACCCATCACTGCCATGCTCTCCGCATTTGAACACCGTTTTAAGCTCCGGGTTTGCATCACTTCACTCAAACACCTTATGCAGACCTCTGTTATGGATGGTGTGGGGCTAGGACCCACTTAAGGCCATTCTAGATACTGGGTCCTTCAGTGTTGTCTGCTCACCCATCTATCTGTTCCTTCAACAAGTTTTTAGCAAGCACCTATTGTGTGCCAGGCACTGTGCCAGCACCAGGAACTTAGTGGTGACAGGTCAGGCTGGGCCAGTGGGAGTGAAGCTCACAGCTGGAAGGGACACAGAAAGTAAGCCACCACGAACAAGACCTGGTGCGGGGTTTTTGCCTGGCCCCTGGCTGTTTTGCAAGCATCCTATTCTGATTGATTTGCCCAATAACTATTTATCGAGTGTGTGCTGGGAGAGGCTACGAGAGAGAGGCAGCGCGGCCTGGTGCGTAACAGCTTAGACTTCAGAGCCGGACAGCCTCTCTCGAGACGTGAGATCTTAGACAGAGACTTACTCTCTGTGCCTCTAAAATGGAGAAAGTGATTGTCCCTACTCCATAGTGTTGTTAGGAAGCTTAAAAGGCTTAGTATGTGAAGAGCTTGGGATTGTGTCTGGCATGTAGTAAGCACTACGTTTCAGCTGCTGCTGCTGCTGTTGTTGTTAGTTGTCCTTTCATTAAGAGGGCAGGGTCATTTGGGGACAGCAGAGAAGCAAGTCCCTTAATCTGCTGGCGATCTAGCTCCTTTAAGACCTGAGAGCTTGAACCCACATTCCCTCATCCTTTCCCCTTTTCCTTTTGCCAGAATCTCTGAGCCACTCTCAAATCCAGTACCTTCTGGCCTTCCTAAGAGTGTTTCCAACCTTCAGAGCAGATTTCTGAATTCTGGAAAGGAGATGCGGGTCCAGGCATCCCTAGGAGGCCCCTTTCAGCTCCTCTCCCGCAAAGCCAGGGGTGCACAGGGCCGAGGGACAGCGGGCCCCGAGTCCCTGCTGCGGGCTCAGGCTGTGCGCTGGGGTGGGGTCCCCAGGTCTGTGCCCACCGCTACACCCAGGTGCTGTGGTCGGGGTCGGAGGAGCAGTGGCGCATGGTGGGCAAGTGCTACGTGCGGGGCAACAACCTAAAGCTGGACCACACCGACGACTGGCAAACCTACCACAACGAGATGTGCAACAGCAACACTGACTACCTGGATACGGGCATGTGCCAGCTGGGCACCAGCGGAGGCTTCACCAAGAACACTGTGTACTTCGGCGCTCCCGGTGCCTACAACTGGAAAGGTGAGGACCCTAGGGGCAGGGGAGGAGCAGAGACCACCCGCCCCAGTTAGCCACTGGGACAGCTGGCCGAGACCCTCCACACTAGGGGGCAGAGGAGACAGACCCCCTTTGCCAGTATCAGCAACCACCACAAGCCCTACTGTTTGAAAGCACTTACACGTATTATCCTAATTAACCTTCAGATTCTCTATGAGGCGAGTATTGTTATACCCATTTTACAGAAAACTGAGCCTCAGAGAAGTGAAGTAAATGGCTCAAGCCGACAGCAGGCTATGAAACCTGAATTAGAATGCAGGTCCATCTGCGTCTAGTGTAGCAACTTCAAAACTGATTTAAAAAGCACAGCATGCGCCAGGTGCAGCTACTAAATGGTACAGTAGGATTTTGTAAAATAAAGAGTAAAAGTGCCCCTTCTCTCCTCCCTGCCATCACCCATCTCCCTTGTCCCATTTCCCGGTGTACACTCCATCTTGTGGACCCTCCAGACTTATTTTAGACCATAGAGGTACCTTTAGTACACACACAGACAGACTCACACTAAACGGGCTGTTCTACTACTTTCCCTTTACAGTAAACTGTGGGCATTTTTTTTTCATGTCAAGACATATAGGTCAATCTTTTGGGGGCTGCAGAGTATTTCCTGATTGTCCCTACTCCATAGTGTTAGGAGGCTTAAAAGGCTTAGTGTGTGAAGAGCTTGGGATTGTGTCTGGCATGTAGTAAGCACTACGTTTCAGCTGCTGCTGCTGTTGTTGTTGTTAGTTGTCCTTTCATTAAGAGGGCAGGGTCATTTGGGGACAGCAGAGAAGCAAGTCCCTTAATCTGCTGGCGATCTAGCTCCTTTAAGACCTGAGAGCTTGAACCCACATTCCCTCATCCTTTCCCCTTTTCCTTTTGCCAGAATCTCTGAGCCACTCTCAAATCCAGTACCTTCTGGCCTTCCTAAGAGTGTTTCCAACCTTCAGAGCAGATTTCTGAATTCTGGAAAGGAGATGCGGGTCTAGGCATCCCTAGGAGGCCCCTTTCAGCTCCTCTCCCGCAAAGCCAGGGGTGCACAGGGCCGAGGGACAGCGGGCCCCGAGTCCCTGCTGTGGGCTCAGGCTGTGCGCTGGGGTGGGGTCCCCAGGTCTGTGCCCACCGCTACACCCAGGTGCTGTGGTCGGGGTCGGAGGAGCAGTGGCGCATGGTGGGCAAGTGCTACGTGCGGGGCAACAACCTAAAGCTGGACCACACCGACGACTGGCAAACCTACCACAACGAGATGTGCAACAGCAACACTGACTACCTGGATACGGGCATGTGCCAGCTGGGCACCAGCGGAGGCTTCACCAAGAACACTGTGTACTTCGGCGCTCCCGGTGCCTACAACTGGAAAGGTGAGGACCCTAGGGGCAGGGGAGGAGCAGAGACCACCCGCCCCAGTTAGCCACTGGGACAGCTGACCGAGACCCTCCACACTAGGGGGCAGAGGAGACAGACCCCCTTTGCCAGTATCAGCAACCACCACAAGCCCTACTGTTTGAAAGCACTTACACGTATTATCCTAATTAACCTTCAGATTCTCTATGAGGCGAGTATTGTTATACCCATTTTACAGAAAACTGAGCCTCAGAGAAGTGAAGTAAATGGCTCAAGCCGACAGCAGGCTATGAAACCTGAATTAGAATGCAGGTCCATCTGCGTCTAGTGTAGCCACTTCAAAACTGATTTAAAAAGCACAGCATGCTCCAGGTGCAGCTACTAAATGGTACAGTAGGATTTTGTAAAATAAAGAGTAAAAGTGCCCCTTCTCTCCTCCCTGCCATCACCCATCTCCCTTGTCCCATTTCCCGGTGTACACTCCATCTTGTGGACCCTCCAGACTTATTTTAGACCATAGAGGTACCTTTAGTACACACACAGACAGACTCACACTAAACGGGCTGTTCTACTACTTTCCCTTTACAGTAAACTGTGGGCATTTTTTTTTCATGTCAAGACATATAGGTCAATCTTTTGGGGGCTGCAGAGTATTTCCTTGTACCAAGACCCATGCTTGTAACTACCGGGGCGCACACGCCTCACGGCCCACACCCCCTGCATCTCTGCTTTTCTCCGCCACACAGGTTGTAGCAGCAGCGACCCATCTCCTCTTACTGTGCCCTATTGTTGTAGAATCAACAGGCAGAGGGAGCCCAGAACCTTGGCCCTTGGCCCGGGTCTTAGTCACAGCTCTGTGCTCACCTGAACTGAGGCCTCTGCTCATTCCTGTGGTTCTGCACCGCCCCCCCCACCCCCACCCCGGTCCTTTAGAACCTTGGTGGAGCGCAGGTACTCTCCAGCAGTAGCCCCGGGGAGCAGGGGCCCGGTGGGCAGCCCCAGTTTGGGGGCAAGACTAGGAGGAGATAATGGCATGAAGTCTGGCATCAGTGTCCAGAGTGGGGGAAGTGTCATCTAGTCGCCACGAGCCTGGATGACCAGATTCCAGTCATGTCTCTACAACTAGCTCCTCATCCCTAAGCCTCACTTTTCTCATCTGCAAAATGGGGGGAGGGTCCATCATTCTATTTTGCTGTTGTTGTTAATCCTCACCCGAGGATACTTTTTCCATGATTTTTAGAGAGAGTGGAAGGGAGATGGAGAGAAAGAGAAACATCAATGTGAGAGAGACACATCGCTTGGTTGCCTCCTGCATGCACCCCGACCAAGGCCAGAGATCAAGCCTGCCACCAAGGCATGTGCCCTTCACTGGAAGCAAACCCAGGACCTTCAATCCATGGGCCGATGCTCTATCCACTGAGCCAAACCAGCTAGGGCTGCTTTTATTTTAATATGTTTTTATTGTTTTCCGAGAGATGAAGGGAGAGGGAGAGAAAGATAGAAACATCAATGAGAGAATCATTGATCAGCTGCCTCCTGCACGGCCCCTACTACTGGGGATCAACCCGAAACCTGGGCATGTGCCCTGACTGGGAATCGGACCCTGACCTCCTAGTTCAGTGATGGCGAACCTATGACACGCGTGTCAGAAGTGACACGCGAACTCATTTTTTTGGTTGATTTTTCTTTGTTAAATGGCATTTAAGTATATAAAATAAATATCAAAAATATAAGTCTTTGTTTTACTATGGTTGCAAATATCAAAAAATTTCTATATGTGACACGGCACCAGAGTTAAGTTAGGGTTTTTCAAAATGCTGACACGCCGAGCTCAAAAGGTTCGCCATCACTGACCTAGTGGCTGCTGTGAGAAACAAATGTGATCGTGGATCTGAACCCCAAAGAACCGTTAGAACTCTCAAGCAAGTCATATCAGCGTGTGCCCACAACTGTGTGGGTGTGCCTGTGAGCGTGCGCCTGCGCCTGCGCCGTTAGCTCCCACCGACACCGTCTCCTGCCGTGACAAGTCTGCAGCATTATCTGTACCGAGCCATCAACCTCCTGCACACCTCCCACTGGGGATGTGCCCGCAACCAAGGTACATGCCTTTGACCGGAATCGAACCCGGGACCCTTCAGTCCACAGACCGACACTCTATCCACTGAGCCAAACCAGTCAGGGCACGCGCACAAATATTTTAAGAGGTCATTATTATCCTTCTCTGGGGAGGGGGCCTGGACATGGTGGAGGAAGGGGTGGTGACTTACACTCCTCTCCCCAAATCCTCCTGAAGGAAACAGCTACATGATTCAGCGGAAGGAGTGGGATTTATCCGAATACAGTTACAAGGACCAGGAGGACCAAGGAAACCTCTATATTGGTGAGTCCAGTCGTGGTGGCCCAAAGGGTGGAAGAGGAGGGGAGGGGCTCAGTCCCTGGCACGCTGGCCCTCTCACCTTTGGTGCCTGGTGGAAGGGTGAGGCCAGGGTATTTAGTTCAACTAGCGCTTATTGAGCGCCACGATGCAAAGTCCCTACCCTCATGGGGCTCACAGTCCAGTATGCAGACTGGACAGGGGGTGGGCATCCAGAAGCCACTTCCTTGCCCAACGTAGAATAGAGGAATAGAAGATAATGGGGGGTGACCTTGGGGGTGCATCCAGAGTAGAAGGCAACAAAGTTTACCTGGGGCCTTGATTGACCACCTTCCCCCATCCCAGGGTACACGGTGCAGGTGGGCAGTGCCATCCTGCACCCTACAGACATCACCATTGTGACGGGTGCCCCGCGGCACCGACATATGGGTGCTGTCTTCTTGCTGAGCCAGGAGGTAGGCGGAGACCTGCGGAGGAGGCAGGTGCTGGAGGGCACACAGGTGGGCTCCTATTTTGGCAGCGCCATTGCCCTGGCAGACCTGAACAATGATGGGTGAGAATCCAGGGACGTTCTCTGGGGCCAGGGAGAATGGTGAGGGGAGCAGGCTCGCCAAGGCAGAGACAGGGAGGCTTGCATTTGTTTGCACGCTGTTGCAGGGATTTGCAAATTACTCTTGTCTGTTGATTTGCAATCAGACTTTCTGGGATTCTAGGCATTTGCATGTCAGTTGCATGACACCTGCTTCTCCGTGTCTATGCCGGTCATTTCTCTGGCTCTAGTGCATGTGGGCTGTTTGGGTGTGATCTGTGCACGCATGTCTTCCTCGCATGTGTTTTCTATTAGATGGGGTCATGTTGGCATTTCCTTGGCTTTCCCACGACGCATGGCCAGAGATGCCACTTGTACAGCCGTGTGCCCTGGCACAGTTATGCCTGCTAAACCACAGTTATGCTGCATATTGATGGCTGGCCTCACACTCCCTCTTCCCCCTCCTTCTCTTCTGTGCAGGTGGCAGGACCTCCTGGTGGGTGCCCCCTATTACTTCGAGCAGAAGGAAGAGGTAGGGGGTGCCGTCTATGTCTTCATGAACCAGGCAGGCACCTCCTTCCCGACCCACCCCTCCCTCCTCCTTCACGGCCCCAGTGGCTCCGCCTTTGGCTTCTCCGTGGCCAGCATTGATGACATCAACCAGGATGGATTCCAAGGTATGAGCCAGCACACCCGCCCCAGCACCCCCACTGACTGAGTGCCAGCTGCATACCAAGCTTGGCAGGGCCCGAAGAGGAGAGGAGATGGGGCCCAGGCCTGGGAGCTTACAGCAGCGCTAGAGAGGGGATGTGTAGAGGGAGCCACCACAGGCGAGGAGTGAACATACTGCTGGGCATCGAGGGCTGGGCTGAGTGTGCACCGTGGAAGGGAGCCGAGGGGTACAATATGAGATAGGACACCTGCCTGAGGTCCCCAGACCTAGCAGGTGTGGGGGGTTGTTTCAGAGATGAGGCTAGAGAGGTAGTGTGGGGGTGAGGTGGATGGTGTTGAAAGCCAGGCTTTATATTTGGGTAATGATAGAGGGGTGTCCAGAGAAGGTGTGGGGGCAGGGATCGGATATGATAACTTGGTGCCCTGGTCCCTGGTCCCTGGAAGGAGATGTGGGACGGATGGGGGCGAGCAAGGCTGGGGTGTTAAATCAAGAATGTGGTGTCTCAGGAGGGGGATGTTAAGAGCCGGGAAAAGGTGGGAGCCCTGGATATAGAGGATGTCACCAGAACTCTGCAGCACGTAGGGACCAATCAGACCTGGCTGTTCTCCTGGTTGCCATGGGAGCACCTGGTGTATCTGGAAGTCCCTTCTCTGGCATCCTCAGTTTCCCAGAATATAGCTGAAAACCAAAAGGAAGGCAAAGGAGCCTCCAAATAGTCCAAACAGGTGACAGAGAGTTCAGCTGATGCAGCCCAAAGCCCTTACTGATACGGGAGTCACCCGGTTTCCACTTAGGACCCACTTGTTCTTCCTCCACATACTTCTCCAACAAGCTTGGCATTCTGTGTACAGAGGCCTTATCAGATCAAAGGCAGCAAACTCAGAGTTGAGTCAAGTTTAAGAAGCTGAAGCAGTTTGGATTTATGCGTAGAAATAATGGTTGGAATTTTACAAGTCTGGACACTTGAACATTTAACACTGTCGTGTTGTGACGAAAATCCCTAGCCTCCCCCTCCCACACGCTAGAGAGGCATGGCCTCCGGGATCCTCTTCTCTACTCATCAGCTGTGTGATGCTGGGTTTTCTGAGTCTGTTTCCTCATCTATAAAGTGGGGACAGTGGTACCGACAGCCAGCACCCTTGTGAGGATTAAACAAAATGAGTGGCTTGATACCTACCTGGCACAGTCCGCCATGGGGAGCCCCAGCTTTTGTGATCCTGCTGGCAAAGGACATTAGGAGAAGCAGGTGTCTGGAGGGAGGTTGGTGGGGGAGATGGAAGGCACTGTAATAAGGGGAAATAAACGGCAGCCGCTGGCGGGAATCGGGAGGGTGGGCCTGCCTGAGACACTAACTAGCTGTCTGACTGGGTAAGTCACTTGCCTCTCCTGGACCTACTTCCCCACCTATACAAGGAGGCAGCTGGGTGCCCGTCGGTCCCAGTTTCAATCCTGAGCCACAGAGCTGTTTCCTGGTGATTTGAGTACTGCCTGGCAGGGTGGGGTCAAGGCGATGCTGGGCTCTGTGGCTGGAGCACAGGATTGGGGCGACAGGGGGCCCACAGTCCCCAGGGTGACCTCACTCTGCCTCTCTTCCCCAGACATTGCTGTGGGAGCTCCGTTTGAGGGCTTGGGCACGGTATACATCTACCACAGCAGCTCCAGGGGGCTCCTGCAACAGCCCCAGCAGGTATGAATGGACAGGGCCCGGGGCCTTCCCTCCTTGGCTCGTCCACCCTCTTCTTACCCACCCCGGGCCCCCCTCCCCAGATCCTACCCTAGAGCTTGTCTTCAGGGCTTCCCCCTGCCCCCAGGTCATCCGCGGAGAGCAGCTGGGACTCCCTGGCCTGGCCTCCTTCGGCTACTCCCTGAGTGGGAAGATGGATGTGGATGAGAACCTCTACCCAGACCTGCTCGTGGGGAGCCTGTCGGACCGCGTCGTGCTGCTGCGGTGAGCCAAGGCGACGGTGAATAGGGGCCTCTCCTCTCCCACCCTGCCTGCAGGGAGCCCCATCTCCGTCCGCCTTCGCCTTCATCACCAGGGCCACCCAAGCTTGAGCCCCAGCCTGGCCTGGCCTGAGGCAGGCGGGGTGCTGATGTCTGGGTGTTTTCTATGCAGGGCCAGACCCGTCATCAACATCCTCCACAGGACCTTGGTGGCCAGGCCGTCCGTGCTGGACCCTGCGCTCTGCACAGCCACCTCCTGGTGAGACTCGCAGTCCCCGCTCTGCCCACCCTCCCTCCTTATGTATGGGCAAGCCAGGAGGGCCCGGCTGAGGCCGTCCGTGGACCCTGCGCTCTGCACAGCCACCTCCTGGTGAGACTCGCAGTCCCCGCTCTGCCCACCCTCCCTCCTTATGTATGGGGGGCA